AGAGAGAGAGAGAGAGAGAGAGAGAGAGAGAGAGAGAGAGAGGCTTGGATGCATACATGTAGCATATGTGTGGAGATCAGACAACTTTCCAGAGTTGATTCTCTTTCCACTATGGAATCCAAGAATTGAACTCACATTGTTCAAAAGCAGGTGCTTTTACCTGCTGAACCATCTTACCAGCCTGGGGCCTGAGGATTTATTTAAGGGTGTAGCCTTACACGTCTTCTTCCTGACTCTGGCCTCTCCCAGCTGCTGGTCTGTGTCTCTTCCTTTGGAAGGCCTTTGTAGACTAGACCCCGGCTTTTGTCCCTTATTTGCCCTCTCTGCAAATGGCTTACCTCAGCGGTATAAAAAAATCCCTTCTTCTTTAGCTGAGAGCACCCTGAATGGCCAGCCTTTCTCTCCCCTGTCATTGACCTACCTCAGAACAGCCCTCCAAAGCCTTCAACCACATTGATCTGCTCAACTACCACACCACACATATGGCATCTGGGTGACTTCCTCCCACCCAGGTTTCCCCTCTGGGCCCACCACTCTCCCTGCTGCTCCAACCTCTGGTTGCTGAGAGACTTACTGGGGTCCACATAGGCCCAGCTTGGATGGAGAGGTACAGCTGTGGGGGCTGGAGGGAAAGCCCCTGCCTTCAGTCCTTCCCCAGAGGTGGCCTCCTCATAGGAGGGTGGAGCCGAGGGCACTGCAGGAGCTCCCTTCTTCTCACCATTCGCCTGCTGCTGCCCCTCAGTCCCGGGGGCCTTGTTAGCCATGGAGAGCTGTGGGGTAGAGGCAGAGAGAAATGGTCACCTGGGAAAAGGCTTCCAAGCGCTTCTTGTCAGCCCCTCCATTCCTGTAATCTCCCTCTGAGCTCTTGCAACCTATGCTAGGGACTGGGTCAGACAAGAACCTCCCAGGTTCAGAACCAGCATAACTGAGTTCAGGAGGGGTGGGCCATTGGGGACACACAGGAGCTGGGAAAGGCTGGAAGCTGAAAATTCACAGGCATGCCCATCCTTGGAGGCCACAGGGCCATGTGCGGAAGGGGCTGAGCCTCTATGGTCCCACTGTTTCCCTGGTCTCTGGGGAAGGGCCTGACGCATAAGGAGACCCTATTATTGAACAACAGGTTCTCCCATTTGATCTTCTTGCAACCTTTGCTTACTGTAGTCAACCCGTTTTAAAATGAGGACACTGAGGATCAGAGAGGAAGAACGATTTGTCCAAGGCCACAGGGCTACACATGGCCTTCTGGGATGCTGGGCCCATGCACATAGTCCACTTAGACAGGCTGCTTTCTGCTGGGCTGGAGATACACCAGGAGAGTAGGGTGGGGGTGAGAGGGGCAGCAGGAAGGAAGGAAAGAAGAGGAAGGGCCTGTAGGATGGAGGGAGGGCAAGTCCTGCTGAAACTTCAGCCTCTCCTCCAACCAAAATAGAATCATGGAATGTCATTGCTGGAAGGAAGGAAACATCTAGTTTGGTCCCTTCCTTTCCTTAAGATAGGGAACTGATCCCCTGGGGGAAATCTGCCTAGGGCAGGCAGAACACTCCAGTCTGTTTACACTCAGCTATGCCCCCTGCCTGCAAGGGACACCTTGGTGGGAGGATGACAGCTCTAAGAATCAGGGAAGGAGAGGCTGGCACTGGAAGGGTGTGAAGCAGGTACAGCCATGAAAGGACTGTCCTCAGAAGGTGCCATTTCGGTCTGCTTGCAGATGCCAAAGGGAGTCAGCTGAGGAGGCCCAATGATTTCAGTTCCTCCACAGTCCAGAGATCGCTGGACTCGGGAGGCTTGCAGTCATCGTGAAAACCTGTGAGTGGGCTGGAAGCAAGGGACCAAGGAGAAGAAGAGACTGTTCCACCAGAACAGAAAACAGCATCAGCTCCTGACTGGTGGGGTGGGAGTAGAAAGGAAGGAGGCTCTGCTCCTCCCTACTCAACATCCCCAGGCTCCTGCAGAAGGGACCCGGACTGCAGCCCTCTGCCGACTTCATCATGCAGTCTGGAGGGGACATGCCTAGAGAAGCTGCCTCAGCCTCCATCCTTCCACCCTTCTACCCCCCACCACCTCCAGGGCCCCACCTCCCCTCAGAAGCATAAGGCATTCCCCAGTGATGTCTGCCTAATAGCAGGAGGTGGTATCACCCAATGACATCATTTTGAGGCCCTTGAGGAGCTTAAAAAACAGGAGGGTCTGAGGGCCCAAGGAGGGATGCCATTGGCTCTGAGGCTGTTCTCAGAGGAAAGAAGGGGGATGTAGGGGAGGGCCTTTTCCTGTTTTCCCTGCCCAATCCTTAGCACCCTTGAACGGAGGGCTGGAGAACCCTCCCCCTTTGCCCTAAGCCCTAGCGACTGTATAATTCCACAGGCTGTTGCTGTTACGTAAGCCTCCTGGACTACCCAAGTGTCTGCCCAGCCCTCCCTCCCTCATTTAGGCCTAGAACTGGGGGTGGGGCAGTGGGGGAAGAATATGTTTTTATCCCATCTAGTCCCATGGCTGATCAAATCAAAAACAAAAATCAGAGCATTCTGCTTCAGGGTTGCCGTAGCAACCCCCAACTATAGGGGATGCATCCAAATATCCAGATGTGGAATGATGAAGGGAGTTTCGAGAGGTGTCTGTGGAGGGTGTGGGAGATGACCCTAAAGTGGATGGGTCAGGCACTGGAAGAATACCCATAGGCACTCTGGGAACACCCTCAAGGCTTACCCTGCCCCCTCAAGGTTCACCCAGACCCCTGAGCAGATGCACACACACATACGTGTCACTCTCCTCATCCAGGATGGCTCCTTACAGGGGCTGGGGCACCATGAGGAGTTCTGTGGTACCAAAGCACAGGGTAAAAGGGAGACAGAGTAGGAAAGGAGAGTCTTGAGGGTGAGGAAGGAGTTGGGCCCATTCCTTGAAATGAGCCGTTTGGTCCTCTGACTTCAGCAAGGGACACAGAGGACCTTTGCACTAGAGGCAGGAGAGGATGCTTAAAGTAGTCCAGAAAGCTTGCTCAGGATGACAGGGCGACAAGGAGCCCAGAGGGTGGAGGATGGTGCAGGCGGGGAGGTGGGTCGGGGGGATGCTGGTACCTTTCCCTGGGTCATGGTGCCGTCTCTCGAGGAAGGGGTCCCTGGGGCAGCGGCGGCCGCTTGGGTCACCACAGCCTGCCTGCGTCTCTTCCTTCCGCCGCGTGGATTCTAGCAACATCCACTGCAGCCGGGCCAGGCGTACCAGAGCGGAGCGTACCATCCTCCTGCAGGGGGGTGGGGGAGGGCCAGAGGATGCTGCAGAGGACGCAGGACCCTGCACATTCCAAAGCCCGGGCTGAGACATGCACTTGTCTCCTTTGCTCACTCTCCCCGGTGCCTTCAGTGGTCCCGGGGGCGGGGGGGGGGGCGGCATGGGAGCACGGCACCTTGAAGCAAAGGGTGGATGAGTCCGTGGGGTGGGAGAAGGCCCGGGGACTCCCTGACACCCGACTAGCTGAGGTTGCCCGTCCGCCTGCCAGTAACCAGAGCTGGAGTCAGAGCCTCATCTCCTCACTATCTCTAGGCAGGCAGGCTCCTGCTTTATTCCTGCCTCTTTTCAGTCTCCCATAATTCCATCCTTTCCCCATTCCAGAGCCAGTCCACCCTTCTCCCCAGCCTTGTCTTTGGGGGTTCCGTCCTCACTAGTCCCCATTTTCTGCAGTTGTGCAATGCCACTGTGGGGTTTGCAATCTCAGGAGCTGGGCTCAAGTCCCAACTTAGTCATACACTGGCTCTGTGACCTTCACAAGGCTCTTACCCTCTCTGAGCTGCAGCATCTCCTATGAAAAGGATGCTAAGAGCAGGGCTTTGTCTTCTGTTGATGTCAGACTCACGGCAACAGGAACACACACACACCAAAGACAGGAAATGCTGCCAGGGTGGGATCTGTGAGCAACTGGGGAATCTCTGATTACAGTGTCCCCATCTCCCTTCTCCCAAACCCAGGGCCAGCACCAGAGCAGACTAGAAGACGGAACCTCCTGGAGAGGGTGGGAAACCAAGTCCTGAGGCAGACGGAGTGGCCACTTACTTTCTGCTCCTGGCTGTCCCACCCTCATTCTCTGTAACCCCTCCTCCAACAAGCCATCTCTAGACCGCAGCACTGCTGCTCTGCCATGTCTAGACCGCAGCACTGCTGCTCTGCCATGTCTAGACCGCAGCACTGCTGCTCTGCCATGTCTAGACCGCAGCACTGCTGCTCTGCCATCTCTAGACCGCGGCACTGCTGCTCTGCCATGTCTAGACCGCAGCACTGCTGCTCTGCCATGTCTAAGACCGCAGCCTCTGCCATCTCTAGACCGCAGGACTGCTGCTCTGCCATCTCTAGACCGCAGCACTGCTGCTCTGCCAACTCTAGACCGCAGCACTGCTGCTCTGCCATCTCTAGACCGCAGCACTGCTGCTCTGCCATCTCTAGACCGTGGCACTGCTGCTCTGCCATCTCTAGACCGCAGCACTGCTGCTCTGCAGGGGTGTTCTGGAGGCGCTTTTTTGTTTTTTTGTTTTTCTTTTCCTGTTTGAGGGCTTCAGGAGCAAGGGGTTCCCCAGCTGGGGAGGTTCTGGGACCCCATCCTTGAATCCTTAACCCAGTGAATGGGTGTTATGCTTTCGGAGGTGGGGAAGTAGGGAGAATGTCAAGGCTCTTGTGGAGTAATGACATGTCAAAGACATGCTTCAGAAGGAGACAGCTGTGGTGATTTTTGTTGTTAGAGCCGTTATCTTAAACTAGAAAGGAAAGAGATGTCGTCTGGGACTAGCATCTACGAGGAGTGGGAAGAGGAGAGGCAAAGGTACAGGGTTGAGCCTGCAGCTCGACCACAGCTGTGACTGTGGTGGCTTCAGTGACAGGCTCAGAGCCCAGGCGCTCCAGAGCAGCCTCCTGGGGCCCCAGCTCTGGTCCCGGACAAGATGCTGCATTTGTCTGGGCCTCAGTTTCCTCATGTGTCATAGAAGGTTGTGAGAACTAAGGGAGTTAGGATTGATAAAGCACTTAGCACAGAGCCATGTGTTTAATGATGCCTGTTTAGAAACTGAAAAACAAGTGATCCAAGAATACAAAGAGCTCAGGGCAGGGCTGACAGGACTTGGGAAGAGGCTGGGTGTGTGATAAAGGGAGAGGAGGCATCAGAGGGATGGAGTCTTGGGAGGCTGAGATGCTAGGAATGAGCTATACTCAGTGGGCCACACTGCTAGCTGGAGACTCCTAGAGCTGGGAGAGTGGTCCTGGCACAGTCTCCTCCTGTGTGGCCCTGGAGGTGCCATGCACTGTGTGCCAGTATGTCACCTGCTTCCTGCCTGAAATCCAGCCTGGGGACCTCAGAAGAAGCAGTGGGCAGCTGGACTAGGCTGGACCTGGGGCTCTGGCTCTAATTGAATGGTATGTGGATGGTGGCTGAACCTTGGAGTGTGTGAGGGCATTCTGGAAACAGAGATCAAGGAGAGAAGAGGGTAAGTAGGCAGGTACAGCAGCTATGGCAGAAGACAAGAAGCAGTCCTTCCTTTCCTGTGGCATAGTCCCTGACATCTTCAACAAGCCATCTAAGGTGAGAGTGGAGGGGAAGGGCCAGTATGTTCAGGGCTCTGTTGTGGTGGGAAGGCATGAGCTCTGCCACTTCCTCTCTCTCTTTTCATGTCCACACCGTGGCAGCCCATCCCACTCCACATTCTGCTCAAGTTGCCAGCCAGCTCAGTTTGGAGCCAGTGCCAGGGAGGGGAGGGGGATGAAGGTGTGGACAGAAGCCACTTCTCATTTTACAGACATGGGAATGGCAGGCCAAGAGACTGACTAATCCAAAGTAACATGACTTGCTGGGGGCCAAGCCAGGATGAGGAGAGTGAGTTCCCAGCCCAGGGACCCTCAGATGGTTTCAGGGGCCACATGTCGGGGGGGTGCAGAAGGAGAGATGGGAAGGCTTCCGACTTTTAGGGTGGCACAGAGCTATTCAGCACCGTTCCTTGCCAGGCCTACACACCTCCTGCCCTCCCCTCTGCCCCCCAGTCCCTGTGGGTGAAGTGAGAGTGTTTCTTTCCTCTCCTCTTCCTCCTCCTCATCTCCCTCATCCTCTTCTTCCTCCTCTTCTGTTCTTGGTTTTGCTTTCTGAGTCAGGCTCTCTGTGTCGCCCAGCCTGGCCTTGACAACCCATCCCAGGCTTTTTTTTTTCTTCTTTTTTTGGTCCTTTTTGAGACAGGGGCTCCCTGTAGCTCCAGCTGGCCTGAATTCACTATGTAGACCAGGCTGGCCTGGAACTCACAGAGATCCGCCACCATGCCACCATCCCATGCCTGGCCATCCCATGCTTTTTTTTAAAAAAAATTATTTATTATTTTTTATTTTATGAGTGTATTGCCTGCATGTTATGTAAGTGCACCTGTGTCACGCAATGCTCATGGAGGTCAGAAGAGGGATCCCCTGGACCTGGAGTTACGGATAGTTGTTAGCTACCATGTGGGGGTTGGGAATCAAACCTAAGTCCTTTGCAAAAGCAGCCAGTGCTCTTAACCACTAAGCCATATCTCTAGCCCCCTATCCCATACTTTTAAGGCCCAAAATGGGAAATTAGGGCAGGAACAGAGCCCACCAGGCTCACAGTGGGCAGATGTCACAGAGCAGACCACAGTGGTAGGTGCTCCAGGCAGCTTAGGCAGGAGGTTGGAGGTTGTGCTGATGGACCCTCCCATATCTATGGCTTTTCCCCAACAAATGCCAAAGCCTGCCATTTCCTGCAGTTTCTCTCACTGTTAATCATAGGGGCCCTTCTCTACCCCCAGTCCTGCAGCAAAGAACAGACACTTCTGTGCTGTTAGCTGGAGCCTGACCCCTCTTTGGAGGGTATAGATCAGCAGTAGAGCATTTGATTGCATAGCCCTTCTTTGCTGGGGTGTTCATTTCTGGCTCCCCACCCCTCATCTCAATACACATTAGGCCTCCCTAGATACAGTCTCTAAAACACAGGCTGCCAAAAGCCCAGGCCTTGGCAAGCAGCAACACTCTGCTTGCAAGGTATGGGCCCATCCCTGCCCTTCTTTCTGCCCCATGCCTAGGCTTTGCTGAGATTTAGGTGGGGTGGGGCGGGGGCTAGCCAGTGTCTGGGGCTGGAGCAGGCCCTCAATGAAGCAGGAGAAGGGTCCTCAAGCTCTCCCCCACCTCACCTCTAGAGAACCATGCTCTCTGTTCTATTCCCTTTCAGACCTGGTTCAGGTTCCTTGCAGAGTAGGAAAAAATGAGTTTTCCAGGAGCCCAGGTTCCAGTCCAGACTTAGCCATTAACTGGCAGGAAACCTTTACAAGTAATTTCTCTCCTCTGGTCTTAGTGCTGGCCCTGCCCAGTTCCTGAGGTGGTCACGAGTTTTCTTACCATCATACATGCTGCTTTGTGTGCCTTTCTGCTTGTCCACCAGAAGGAATGCTCCCTAAAGATACAGGCTGTGTATCCTGATCCTCAGTCCTTGCCCTGTTCCTGACCCCTGTGCCTGTTCACTAATAAAGACTATAGACTCTGAAATCAGATCAGCGTGGCTGTGAATTCTGGTTCTTCCCTAACCCAATGAATGACCTTAAGTAGTTGTTGAACCTCTTTGAGCTTTACAGTTTTCCTCACCTATAAAGTGAACATACATTAATTAACTTACTTATCCAATAACTTTAAAAAATATTTTATTATTTTTATGTGTATGCATGTATTGCCTACATGTAGGTAAGTGCACCCGTGTCATGCAATGCCCTTGGAGGACAGAAGAGGCTGTCGGATCCCCTGGAACTGGAGTTACAGACAGTTGTTAGCTGCCATGTGGGTTGAAGACCTAGTGTATGTCAAGCATTGAGCTTTATATGGTGATATACACACTGAAGTACACATACAGATCCCAGCCTTTGGGGCTCACTAAGACTATTAGTGCCTGGCACAGGCAATGATCATGAGGACCCAGTGACATGATCTATGGAGAGGGCTCAGCATGGTGTCTGGCACATAGTAAGCCATCTATTGAGAATCTATTATGCTCTGGTACCATGTAGTATTCGGAGGAAACAGAAGTGTAGGACATTTATCCACACCCTCAAGGGACCCACAGCCAAATGTACCTAGTATGTGTTGTACAGGCACCATCTTCATCATTGTTCAGAAACTTATGACCAGTACTAACTAGTACTGTACACTGCAAAGAACCATAAAATTCTAGAATGTCAGGTGTACTAGAAACAGCTGCTGGTCTTTGCATGATTGATGGTTGACAACACTGGGATGTCAGGAGATTCAGACAAAGGAGAGGTTATATCTGGTCAGAGTGTCAGAAAGTACTGGTGTGCCATAACTAGATGGTAAGATGCTATTACTGAAGACACAGCAACTTTGGTTACAAGACACGGAGAAATCAAGCTGGAACTAACCTGAAAACTTCCCTGCTGGAGTGTCCATAATGCCAGAAGGTGCTCTGTAGATGGCTGCAGGAGAATTCGCAGAGAAACCGCTCTGCAATGGGCAGCAGTTTTTGCAGTTGACTCATTACTGGTCAAAGTGCCGAGAATAAGTGACTGTTGAATGCTCAGCATTAAATGGGATGTCTATATCAACTCCCCCAACCGAGAGCTCAGGTAACAGTGGAAGAGGGAGATGAAAGAATGTAAGAGCCAGAGAATGGGGAGGAGTGCTGTGAGATGCTGTCTTCTGGACGTGACATGGCTGTGATACTCTTGAACTCACTGTAGCTGCGGTCACCTGCACAAGATCCAGCTAACAAGATCAGTCAACATTCCAGCTGGCAGCACTAACTGGATTCAGTTTGTTACAAAAAAAAAAGGAGGAGTGTTAAAGTTTTGGAAAATAAAA